ACGATTAGGTGAAACTCCCTTATATTCTAGCGTCAAATTCATGCATGAAAATTAAGCGTGCACTCTCAACCAACATACACAAATCAGTTTTTATACGAACGGATAAGTAAATTGAATTCACAACTTATGAATCACAACTGGATGTAATCAAATCATATTGCAAGCATGAACATAGTTTCGAATCACCCCCTAACTAAGAGGGGTTTAGTTCCTCATACTTACAAAGCAAAGATGCATAAATTTAGACATTAAAAACAAAGATAGAAAACACCTAGAAACGCTCCAACACTCCCAAGGCTTGGGCATAGGCACGGCACAAGATGTTCCTTCTCTTTCCTTCCTTGCAAGCAGCGGCACTAGAGGTTTTGGATGGTTTTGGGTGGTTTTTATGGTGTAGAATGGATGGGGAATGGTATGGAAAGGTTTAGGGTAAGTGTGGAGGAGTGTTTGAGGGTTGGAGGGTGGTGGAGAACTAGGCAAAGAGGGTGGAAGAAGGTGGATTGGCTGTTATGTTTTCTAGGCACTAGAATGGTGTTTTTGGGGTGTTTTGCTTCCTAGGGTGTGTATGGACGAATTGTTGTGATAAAATGATGAATATGGGGGATTGTCCTTTGGCCAAGGGGTGTAAACATGTATTTATAGGCCCCAAAAACCTTAGAAAATCAGGTTAGGTTAAGGATGAAATGCATGGCAATTTGTGTGTGTGGTGTGCAATGGTCCAAGGGTGAAAATGAAGTAATGATGCAAAGTGTGAAGGGTAAAATGGAGTGGTGTTGTAGCTAGGGAGCATGAATGATTGTGTACATTGCATAGAGATGGAAAGGGAGGTGAAATGTGTCAACAAATGGGTCAAAGGTGCAACAACATGTGTTGCACATGGCATTGGATTCCAAATGTGAATGATGGAGCATCAATTGGTGCATGTAATGGATGTAAATGTTGTCTAAAATCTAATGAGTGAAGGGAACAAGAGGTATCAAGCAATTGAGTGTAATAATTAAATGAATTGAAGCATGAAATTAGAAATTATGTAGGGGACAAGAGTGATCAAGCATGGCATGGAATCCAAAGGGAATTCTATGTGGTTTGCATGGCAAGGAATGCAAGTTGGGGTGACAGATTTTTGGGCTGTTTTCTTCATCTTTTGGACCATAATTCTTCATATTCTTGGCCTCTTTAGTTCTCAAATTCGTCCATCCACTTTGGCCCATGCATTTGCTATCCATTCCAAGCCCGAAACATGCTCCAAAGGCCTCCAAAATGCATCTTCTTGCATACTTTGTACTTAGAGTCTGAAAACACACAAAAATAACTTTAAACACTAAAATAACTAAGGAAATACAACATAAATGCACAAGAACAAGCTAACTAAAATAACTACAAGTGATAGAAACACAACGCGCCGGGACCGGAGGCACAGTTCTAAACACCAAATTATTTCTTTCCATCCAGATTTGCTAGCAGTTCAGAATTACTTCACTAAGATCAGAAAGGCCGTCTTTGTCATTAGAACTTATGTTACCATTGTTAAAACTACCAAAAGTTAAGCTCCAAACTTTAGTAGGAAAAACACAATTACAAAAGAGATGACATTGATCTTCTTCAGTTCTATTAAATAATGGACATAACTTATCAACAGAGACAGTTCATTAATATGTAGTTCAGTTTTTTAATTTTTAATTTTTTATAATTAGAGGTGATAAAATCACCTGTAAGTGAGGCTTAAACAAACAACAGCAAAATTTTGTTTTGTAAAATTACGTTATTGTCTTTAACATTTTTTTATGATAGAAGACATAAATATTTTTTTGGAAAAATTACACTTAGAGTATACTTTCAATACTTAATTATATATTGAGACAACACTTTTTAAACATTTCAAGAAAGGACATTTTTAAATTCTGCGTAAGATGACGTCATGTCAGATTTTTCCGTTCGAAACGGAGTCCCGTATTTTGTTAAATAGCGATCGGTGGTGATTCGAATCATTCGAATAATATTTTTTGTTTTCTCGTATGTTTTTCTTTCTCTCTGAAGTTTATCTCTTCTGATTTATATTTCATCATCTCCCTCAATTATCTCTCTCCATAATTTCTATTCGAATCATTCAAGCTTTCTTCGAAGGTAAGTGTTTATCTCATGTTTATCTCTCTGAATTTTATGTGTTCCAATTTAGATTTTCGAAGTGTTTGTGTGTTTTTGAATTTGTTTTGGTTTTGATTTTGAAAGAGTCTCTGATTTTTCAATTTTTGATTCGTGCATTTAGTTTTTTTGGATTGTTCTTGTTTTTTCAGTCACGGTTTTTTAGTTTTGAAGATTTTGATTTGGTTTTGAGCTTATTTGATCGAGTGTTTGGTGAAGGCGATTTTTCGTTGTGCTGCTTTTGGTTTTCATTGAAATTCCTTTTGTTTTTTGCAGTATAGTTATCATATATATTAGTTTATGTAGCATCAGTTCATAGAATCGTACAAAATCAATTGGCATAAGTTTTTTTGGGGGGGGCACCCCCATAAACATTTAATATTTTTCAATGTAATACGTGTTAGAAATGTGCCCTAAAGCCAATCATATGATGATCTAGTTTAATATAAAGGGAAAAGATTATTGTTTAAAGCCGTCTCATATAAATGTTATATGCTTAAACGATAAGTCCAAGGAATATGTAATTGGGAGAATGTGATCTAAAGAAGTTAGATTCATGAGACCATTCTCTTTAGTATACATATCCTAAATGTTCTTGATCATAGGATTGCCAATTGGACATTGATAGTCCGTTATGATCAGTACATGATATGTCTTCTTTTAGAGAGAGTGATTGGTCTCGAGTCATTGGTGTGACTGACACCAAGACAAGCATGTAGGTGCTCAATAGAGCATGGGTTCATTGAACACGATCAACAATGAGTTCTCATACTCATGTCACATGAGAACTCATGGTTGGGATAATGCAAAGTAGTCATTTGAGCATCATAGTTGTCTTATGGTTAGGTCCTTGATCTTTGACTATGTCAAAGTCATTCCGTCAAAGGGTGTCCACGACATAGTTGGGGTTAAGCCACTTAGTCATGGAGGCAAGTGAATGCATAACAAGGGATCTCTAACCTTCAAACCATTTGAGGGAGAATTCTCTATGATATGATTAAGAATCTTTGGCCAGAGTATGAATGAGATTTAGAAAGTCGTTCCAAATCATGTTCAAGGTAATCATATAAGTAAGAGAATCACATTGTATAGTAGACATGAATAAACTATCAAACCAAAACAATGTGGTCAAGAGTATTGTAGTAGAGAAAGACCGTATTGCATTGTAATCCCAAACTGAATAGGTTCTCCACCATTTCTGATTAGCTTGGGTAGCCATGACATACTACTAGGTGTCACTCATTGTTTGTGGAAGCCCTAAATGTGTATAATCACTAAAGGGACAATTGAAAGTAAGTTTCAATTCACAATTGATTTGAAGAGTTACCCACTGCCTCGCTAAAGGGAACCTAATGGATCATAAACCATGCAAGGTAGAGATTGAAAACAACGGAGATGAGTAAGGATAATTAAATTGTTTAATTATTTATGGCTAGGATTAATTAATATGTTAATTAATCAAACGAATAAGTTCGTTTTAGACCTCGAGTTAGTTTTGGGACTCAAGGCCCAATGAGTTTCGAATGTCAAGTCCAATAACTCAAGTTGTATGACAACTTGAAAAACACAAAGGGCATGAAAGCCCAATGAACCCACATGGCCAGCCATAGAGAGTGTGAGGGAGAGTTGGTTTTAGTTTCAATTATGCCACTCAATGTAAGTGTCTATAGAAAGGAAATTATAACATATTCCCTCATTAAGGGTTTTCTAGAGAGAGAAAGAGAAAAATACAAAAGCTCTCTCTTCTCTTAGGAGGCCGGCCACCCTAGGAAGAATGCACTAGCATCCATTTCTTCCTAGGTCACTCATCTCTTCCTCAATGTTCTCCTTGGTGTGGAAACTTAGAGGTTCCCTTTCTTGGGAACCTGGAGAAACAATTCCTTCATCCATATCCAAGAAGTCATAGAGCTAAGTAGCAAAGTTCTTCCATCCACATCCATGGAGACAAGGAGCAAGGAGACTAAGGAAAGAAGACCCTTCACATGGGTGAATATCCTTTGCTAAGCAAAGAAGTGCTTCAAGGGTATAAAAGTTTCTAATCTCTTTTCTTTAAGATTTGAGTTGAGTATTGGTTCACCACAACTACTAGGCCTTGAATTTCATGGGTAAAGTTTTATTTTTGAGTGCCTACAAGCATGATTCCACCTTTAATTGTTAATTTCATATGTAGATGTTGCTCAAATAAACTAGTTTTCATAAATTTTTCCTTTAAGTGGTATAGAGCCTAGGTCTAGGAATTGGTGAATCCTTTTGGGTTTTGTAGTTCATAGTCTTTGATTTGAATGTTGTAATTGTTACAAGCTTTATTCTTACTTCTTTAAATGTAAATTTTTCTTGAAAATTTGCCATCTCAAATCTTGTAGATGTAGTTCATATGAGCATGAATTTTGGAGCTAAAAATTTGGTGCCATGTTTATGGGGAAATTACGCCAAATCCAAAGGGTTGATTTTTGGGTTCATGTTTGTCTTGTTAAAAGTGTTTTAAAATGACTTTTGGAACCCCTAAGTACCCTAGGATGTTAACCCTCTTTTGAGTAGTGAAAATTTGTTTATTGAGTGAAAACATTTATGGAGCTCTTATGGGTTTTCATGGATGTTCTTCAATGTTCTTGCTTTGTTCTTGTTGTTCATACAAGAACCAAAAGGTTTGTTGTTTTGATTAAAAAAAAGGTGTTTGGTTGTTTATTTGTGTTTGTTAGTGATGGATAGTATGATTTTTCAAACTACGGTATGGTTTGGGATTGAGGTGATTTTAAAAAAAGCTGGTCTGAAAAAAAACTGGGAGAGTTTTTGTTGTTTGGTAACTTCCAACTTCAGCTTTTTTTTTTTTACGGTTTTAGATGAAAAAAAGCAAAAAAATAGAAGCAGAAAAGGCAGCTTTGAAAAACTGGCTTTTCAGCTTCTGCGCAAACCTCTAAAACGCAGGTGAACAGTAACCCTTTAATGAAAGTTTCTGGCAATCCTACCCTTTCCCGATTCCACGGCGAAGCTTCTTCATAATGCAGAAGATGGCGCATGAATGGTTTTCGCAGACTGGCAGCGGCGTCGACGACTCGCAGAAGCCATCGTCATCTTCTTTGCTAGCCAATTGGAACTCCTACGCTGTTTCACAATCCATTGATGATAACTCCTCTTTGGGACTTGGATTCGATCTCCAATCTACGGTGCGCTCTGCTAACGACACTGTTTTTGGGACTTTTAGCGTGTAAGTTCGTATCTGATCTTGGTTTCCTGCCTAATTAACTTAGTTTTTTAGTTACTGTAGAGTTATTTATGGGCGATTTTGGCTGTGGGTTTCTGATTTTGTGTGTGTTTTAAGTGAATCTGATAATTGGGTTTTCGATTTTGTGCGTATTTAGGCGAACTTGATCATGGTATGGGATTAATGATAATTGTTTGCTTATGTTGATAATATGTGGTCTATTATGAAGGATTTTCATCATTGAGTGACTTTTGATTTCTATTATTACAGTGAGTGAGAAATGAAAGTAAAGCTGCTGCAGTGGTTAAAAGAGCAGAGATGAAAATTTGAGTATATGGTTGTATTTGCTTAGTTCAGTTCTCTTTGTATAAAAAATAGAGAGATCATATAGTTGTAAATGATTCACTGGTGATATGACATTGGAAATTTGGAATAAAAAAATTTCTTGGTTTAGTTAGTGTTTCGAAGTGATATGTGACTGTACAATGATTCCATAACTGCTATAGTTGTTTCCTATATGCTACCATATGGTATGGATTGTACAAGAAAGCTATAAAAAGCTATAACAGCATTTGGAAAATGCTATGAAAAGTTTACAATAGCATTTGATGAATGCATCTAATTAGACTACTTTCAAGTATATTAACAATATTGTACTAATGAATCCTAGCTGTTCAATCTAAAATATTTCAATTGAAGTAGTTTGTCATACTAATTAATATTTATGATAAAGTTTATAAATATTTTTCTTTTCAAAATAAAGTATATTTAGTAATTCACCTTTATTTGTTAAGAAAATTAAATTAATAGCACATCTAGTATTATACCCTTTTTGGTCATTTCACACAGTCACAGCTATTTTACATAAAAGTTTACCAAACACTATCATACTGCTTTTTTTCTTTTTCAAAAGCACTTTTACAAAAAAGTTTACCAAACACTCTGCTGCTTTATTTCATAGCTGCTTATTCTCACAGCACAACAGAAACAACTTTTTTTTCAAAGCATAACAATACCAAACCAACCCTACATCCATGCATTTTTCTATTCACACCATACCAATCACTTACAACTTTCAATCACCTTTCAAACACACAAATCAACTCACACACCCCATCACTACTCACCATGACCGGCCACCCCTATAATGGGGGTACTTTTGGAGCTTTTATGCAATTACATAAAGTTTTGATACTTTTGTGTCTTTGCACTTTGACCCAAAAGTTTATGTTTTTACGTAAAGGCCCAAAATCACTAAAGGACAAATTGTTTTGCTCCCTTAATGAAGTTTTGCATTTATTGAAATTTTTGAGTTCTAGTTGTAATTACATGAAGTAGTGGACTTTTGTGTTTTTACAAAGTGACCTCAAAATGTGTGTTTTGCAATATAGCCCAAAAGTTGAGGTTATTGCATTTTGACACAAATTAGTTGAGAACAAAATAGTTTTGTATCTTTAAACGAGAATTGAATTTTCATTTCATTTAGCTCCATCTAAATCAATTCTATGTATACAAAAACCAAATGACAATGTTGTATTCAAGTTCAATTAGTTAAAGCATTAATTAATTAAAGAAAGGGTGATTATGAACCTAAGCCTACGATAATTGAGCTATGTTAAAGGTCGTCTCTCAAATTTGTTTGAACCATGTGAATGTGTAGATTAGATTTTGATAGTAATTTGATATGATCAAATGTTGTAAAAGAGCATAAGCTCTTCTTTACTTGAAAGTAATTTGATTTGATCAAATGTTGTAATAGAGCATAAGCTCTTCTTTACTTTGAAGTACTCCTTTCTTGTTTTATTTGATATGCATGAAATTGGAGTAGTAGGGTCCAACACCCAATAAGAAAACACGCCGTAATGTGATTAAACACGTAACTAAAATCAATCACCATCCCTAGACTGAGATCCAACACTAGGCTCGTGTTGGATCGAATCAAAGGTTCATAGTCATCCTAAGGCCGTAAGGCAACTATATAGTCCATCAATAAATGCAAAGCTTACGTTAGTAGTACCATATACTTTTGCTTTAAAAATCGTTTTACAAGCATAGTGGGAGTATCGTATACTACTAAAACAATCACATGGACCAATAGTTGTAATAGGACCAAAATTGTTTTAATGAGATTAAAATGCATGCTTATATGTGATGAGACCTAAAAACCCTTAGCCAAATCATTATTAAGTTGACAAGCGTGAGAGTGCTTTAAACACTATTTCATGGCCTTCTAACGTGGTAGGCTCCCATCATTTGTGACCCATACACCGACTTCACCCTATCATGGGGGAGTACAAAGTATGTGCTTACACTTAGGAGGAGTTCTATACGCAATGTTGTGAAGGTAGGCAATGAGAATGATCAACATCGTATCATTGTGAGGTTGTTCTTGAACCCCTACCTGAACTTGCATGGTGGGAATGACTTAACTAAGTGCAATGGAGCCAACGTCTTATCCTTGTGAGGCATCATTCTCTAGAGGCCAAATAAGATGGGTGCTTACATGAGATGCAAATGAGTAAGCGTACTCTCTCATTATTATTGATGCTAGCCAACATCATATCATTGTGAGGTGGGCTTGGTAATAGTGAGCCTCTCATACCCTACTAAGAGTTTCCTCCAAAACTCTCAAATTCCAATAAGGGATAGTGGGTGGTGTTATTTGATTTAAAGACCTAGATCAAATAGCTTAAAATAAATCAATTTTTATTCGTTATGTATTTGTTTACCGATATATTTGCAAACGCTATCCAAAACTTGACAAAGAAAAGCCGAAGGCTTTAGTTTCCGGACTTGGTACCACAATCCCATAGATTGTCTTGAATGGGTTGTTTATGTACCTAAATAGTCTCATCCTCACAATCTTCCTATTGATAATGTATCATTGGAAGAACATGTTAGATAAGTCTATCATAAAGAGGACAACACAAACAACAAGTGCTTATTACAAAGGAACTTATGAAGATTAGCACAAAGACATGGATGCTTTTAGTGTCATAGTTCATCACTTACAAATCGTTGTATGAAGAAATAAAAGTTGTTACCCTTAGTTAAAGCAAACACTAGTGCTTGTTTCTTTGTTAAATGAATAAGGAACTTGAGAATTAAGCACAAGGGCATGGACAGTTTTTGTGCCATGATTCTTCACTTATAAATTGTTGTATGAAGAAATGAGAGTTTCCTTGAACAACTCTTGAAAGTTTGTAATCATGTTTAGAACATAATGGTTGTTTGACAAAAATAGTCCATCAACATGGACTTATGATGATTTTGAATCATTGAGTGTTGAAGTGTTAAGCCACTTCAAGAGACGGAAACTAGGCAAGGACTTCACCATTGTGTCCCTATCCAAATGGTTCACTAAGTTTATTGTAAACTATATAGTGAACAATAACCGCATGCTCTCCAAATCGTTTGATGTGTATAATACAATTGAAATAAGTTTCAAGAGAGATAGTGGGAGTTTAGGGACCATGACTATTGTAGTCAACGAAGAAGTCAAATGAAGAAGGCGAAATAACTCCAAGGGAACAAACTTTCTTTATGAAAGGATGGACATTGGAATGGGTATTTGCAAGAAACATCTTGCAAGTGTCAAGAACACATCGTTCGAAGGTGTTGTAAATTGTTCTTGAATAAGTTCAAAACAGTTGGTTCTTCTACTTGAATGCTTGATTCCATATTAGTAACTATGTTTTACAATCATTGTAAAAGTGTGGCTAATAAGAAATAGAAGATTAATGAGAGAATAGAAAGTACTTCACATTCGAAACATGAATAAACTATAGATCTCGGCGAAAGCAGATAGTACTTACTTCCTCATATGAACTACCAAAGAAATTGGAAAAACAAAGATTGTCTTTACATTTCAATTTGAATAAGGAACTTAATTCCGTCACTATAATTTTAAGAGATGAATGAATGTTTTGTTTGACAAAACATTGTTCTTTATTAATGAATGATTGGATAATTGTAATCTAATTGATTGTCTCTATTGTAGAGATGATGTGGTAGTGGTAACTGTTTAGAATATAACGATGCTTAAAACTCAAAAGGTTGCAAGGTAGTGACTAATCCCACTGAGTTGTGACACCTCTAAAACATAAATTACAAGTTGGTCATACATGGGTGCTTTGGATCGTTAGATCCGAATCCAATGCATTCTTGTTAAAATTGTATAGAGGCGAAATGTTCGAATCTTTATTCTTTTGAAAAGAAGAAAGAATCACAAAGTTGTTGAGGTTAATTCACTTAGATGTTAGTGGCACTTGTCCACAACATAATACTGCTCATGTTGTATGACATTCACCGAAGATCGCTCTCGGTTGGACTATCATTTATTTTGAATAAACACAAGTCCGAATACTTTGCAAAAGGTTTCAAAGAATTCAAGAATGTAAGTTGATGAGTAAGACGTCTAAAGTATTTACCTCATTAGATTTGATCCAAGGAAAAAGAACACTTTAGAAGAGTTTCCTTGAAAGATATCAAGGAAAGTAGCATCATAAGATCATGGAATTCTCCATTGGGAGAAGAACGAACTCGAATAAGCAATATTTATTTGAGAACAATCTTGTGTGATATCCTTAAATTAACCTTTGGACATCACTTCTATAAACCAACTAACAAATGTTATTTGTTGGGTAGTTCATTGTAATCCTACAATAGGATTTGCCTAAGAGCAAATGAACGAGAGATAGAACTCAAAGAATGGGTTCTTTGAGAGACAAGATGATAATCATGTTGGAAATATGCCCTGAAAGTCAATCTTTGGAAGAAACCTTTCAAGACAATGAATGGATGTATAGATGATTCTTGTACATCAAATGGCAAAGATACTAATTAGGACTATCTTAACACACGATATATGTCCTAAATAGTGAATCCATGGACAATGGATTAATGGAAGAAGTAATCTAATGATGTTAGACTACAGAGACCTTCTTCACATAACCATCATGTCCAAAAGGTTCCTGGTCATAGGATTGTCGGAGGGATACTGACAATGCATAGACCGGTACATACTATGTCCACTTCAATTGGAAGGATGGAAAGTCTCGTCCCATTCGTGTAGTGACACTAAAACAGGTATGTAGGTGCTCATTAAGGGAATGAGTTCACTGAACACAATCGAACGAGAGTACTTGCATGGAGGTCTACTCACATGTCAAGCAAGTAACTCTAATGGTTGGAATAATGTAAGTAGTCCTTTGACCTGAGGCATCATAGTTGTCTTGTGGTTAGGTACTTGATCTTTGATTATGTCAAAGTCACTCCATCCGCGGGTGTCCACGGCATAGTTGGGGTTAAGCCACTTAGTCATGGAGGCAAGTGAATGCACAACAAGGAATCTCTAATCCTCATTAAGAGAGGATGAATACTCTAAGATATGATTCGGGAATCTTTGGCCGAAGTATCGAGCGTAATAAAGGAAAGCGTTCCTATACGACTCAAATGAATCATATAAGAAGGAATAATCACATTAGGGGTTTGACATAATATATCCATACCCTAGTAATGTGATTGAGAGTATTGTTTTAGAGAAGGATTGAATTACATTGTAATTCCAACTGAATAGGTTCTCCGAACAAATTCTACATTAACTTGGGTAGCCA